AGTCAGCATTTGTAAATTTTATGGTTCTTATAATGTCTTGCTAACAGATATAGCCTATCATTGAGTGGTGTTGTGTCTATCTGAACTTTTATACCAGTTGTTAAGTCTTTGTTTTTGTACTAAAATTTGACAACCAAATGACCCCTTCACCTTATCAATGCTAAGGGATCACAAGGCTGTTACTGGTGGGATGCCTACTCCTCCTTGGCACCTGATCCCACCTCAGGAATCTCTTTGTGTCAATGTTGTCCCTTTTCATCAGCCTCATGTCTTGCAATGAGTCTTTATCATGCACTGATAAGGTTAAAAATTCTCTGAAATTTAGAATGAGCAAAGCTATATTATTGACTTAAAATCAATGAAGGCATACAGATGTGCTAAATTCTGGACAGTTCTGTGTAAGGTGCACTGTTGGGGTTTCAGTGTATTTGGAATGATATCTGCAGTGAGGTTTATCCTGGTAGTGTCAGGGATGATAGTATCCAGGACAAGTAAGTCTACATGTACAACTGACAGACTACAGCTAGTCAGCTCAGGGAGATACATTAATGTGTCAATACACAGGCAGAGGGGTGAGAAAGCTTTTTATCAATTAGGGAAGAGTGTTCTGCATCCCATAGCACAAAAAATAATCTGGGAAAATAATGGTGGAATGGACACCTCTTTACAATTAAGGCCCCACTTAACTTCTCAGTCTGCTACTGTAGACAATCTCTTAATAGACACTAATAGACACCTTGAAAGAGGCTCCAATTAATACCTCAACTGTAGAAACCTTAGTGATAATGTTCTACTTAGCATTTTTTTTATAGTAATTTAATTTAGTAACTTTGTTACAGGTTGTCAATCATTCAAATGCCTTTTGAGCCATTCAAGGTCAATTCAAGGTCAAGGTCACTGATAGCTTGTCCTTCACCTTTGCATTTGACATGTAGAGAAGCTAACTCATATGATTATGTTACATTGGACATTTTAATGGTGATCAGTCATCCTTTGATTTACACAAGATTAGTTATGAATGTTGTAGAGGAATTCAGAAGAGAATTTCCAAGGTTAACTTAACCAGAACTAATCATATCAGGGACACGCTTTCAGTCTGTATTATTCAGTTACATTAATCCAATGGGGCATTATGATACAATTCATGCTTTCCTATTTCATGAGTGATTATACCTTTCTTTGTTAGAATTAACATCACAATGTTAGAATTCCCCATTCCAATCATGTCCTGCCATTCCGGTTTTATGTAGTTCCGTTACTCCTGACATTACAAATGGCCACTAATATATGTCTCCCAATAGTCACTGATTTTATTGAGGCAATTTCTGCAATGATTACAAGTGATGGAAACCATTGAGATTAGCTGGTTTGGATTGCGTCCTTTTTTATTTCTATTTAGATAACCATGCAGGTTCAATGATTTTTTTTCTTCTAAATTTGACAAGGAATTGCTTTAGTTTTAATATACATGTACCGGTATATATTTTTTATTCGATTTTTGCTTTTGTAAATAAATTAAGCTGTTTTAGTACCTTTATATTCAATATTTATTGGAAGTGTGACATTTTTACTGGTCATCAGTTTGTTTTGAAATATAGTCATTTTTGTTTATTCACACTGTAACAGAGACATTTTATTGCCTCTGCTGGGGATCGAACCTGGGACCTCTGGTTTGCCAGTCCAGTGCTCTACCGATTGAGCTAAAGGGTTAACCCACTAGCCCAAGCTAGTAGGATGCCATGTATCTTACACTACTACAACACTTTTGAGCAAATTTTGAATTTGTGCATTGAAATTTCCTGAAGAACCATTTTCCTAGAAGGAAAATAAAATTATGGTAATCATTAAACAATGCCGGTGAGATGAAGGGACAGAGACAAGACCTTATAAAATATACAACATTCCCAGCATTCTCCAGGAATTGTCCAAATTCTCCCCATTTCCTGTTCAGCCGAGTTCCTAATCAATTATTCAGTAATGAAGTCTTTGCTAGTATAATCAAATCCAGGATATTGAGTATAATTTGGTTTGGATTAGCAAAGGAGCATTAAAAAGTCATCAAACGATGGGAATGTGGTATTCTGGGGGGGTTTGTACACACCTGAAATGCAAGAAATCTGTGTGCACTAGAGGTCAAGAAATTAAAAAATATACAACTAGCAGAAAAAAAAGGAAAGTTAGACATTAAAGATATAATTACATGTATAATTAAACTATGAGAATTGTGTTTAAAATTAGAAGCTTGTATAATGCCTAGATTGCTTTATTTTTCTGTGAAGAGTAATGAAGGTTCTTGTAGGCCCAAGCTTTTCATTAAGTTAACAGTGCAAAGGAAATTTAATTACAGAGTACTAGGCTTTAATTAACTTTTACAGTATGTCTTTACTAGATTTCCCTTGCTAACTATGTATATAAATATATATCTTGGTCGTTCCCTGCATACCATAGTCTGGCAATAGAGGTAAGCTTATCATGCTTATGATGTTTGCTTACAGATTGAATATTGTTAAAATTACATAGATATAGCTTGTGATATTTGCCTGTGGATTGGATATGTTGTTAATTTTATATAGACTTAGATATCTATTGGAGGCATTAGTAATTAGTCTTGACTAATATATGTTTTAGGGTTGGATATTGTTCATCATGGACTTTGATATCTGAGGGTTAGATATTGGTATATTAAATACTATATAGACTTCGATATTTTTTTGAGAATTGGATTTTGTTAATACTCTGTTCAAGACTTGAATAATGTTACCTCTTTGTTATGATCTTGGTCTGAGGTCTGGATATTATTTCTGTGAGATATTTTAGTTATTCTTTTGATTTCTGTATCTATTTACTGCTGGCAGTGGAGGTGTACAATGTATCTGTTCTGATAAAGCATGCAGTCTTTAAAAAATTATAATCTATATTTCTGACAGATCAAGGTTAAATATTATAAGCTAACTACACTTATTTCAAATTTTCTAGGTTCTATTTTTTTTCCACTTGAAATTTTTAGCAATATTGCTTGGATAAACATTTCTTACGATTTTGTTGTTATTGTTGTACATTTAACAGAATGAGCTTGAAAATGGTAAATGTTCATGCACCTATAAATGACATAGATATGGAAATCTAAAGACAGCCCTAGGCCATGTTAAACCTAAGACGTTTAGGCAGAAACTGTTCTTTCACCATGTGTTTGGCATCAGAAGTAAAGGTCTCAGGTCTTTTGGATATATAATCTCAAAAACGTAAGACTTTGTATCTCAGAAATTTGAAAAAGCTTTGGCACAATAATAATATAACCCTCTGTACTGCCCTATAGCTGAGCTTCGGTCTTTGAAACCCTTCCCCAGTATTCGGTAATGTCGCAATGAGTATTTATGCAATGGACGTAAAATTACAACAATCAATGTATAAGTTTAACTATGCATCTATTTTAAAAAAGTTTTTCTTTAGAAAAATGATTTGAAACAAGATTTGATAGAAAAACTTGTCTTGTCAGTTGGGATGACTTGTTTAGACAGATTTAGCAGAGAGTAAAACTGCAAAAATTCAAAAGATCTTGTAGCATCCATGTTTTCGTCAGCGTGAATTAAATTTACAAACTGTAGAACTCCAGGCCCTGAGTTCCCGCTGACAGTCATTAAGCTGCGATTTGTGTGATAATGATCGGCAGATTCCGTACCTGGGCCGTGTTTAGTTTGTCTCCTCCCGGGGCTATAAAGACCGATTGTTCCCCCATCTTAACGTAGTGTTAAATCAGCTGTTGTGGATGATGTTTTACACTTCGCAGGAGTAAAAAAATGTTGTTATCCCACTTATAATGTAAATCTACTGTCAGAAAATGAAGAATGTTTCTTTGTGGTGTGCGTATTCTCAATCAGCAAGGGAGATATGTCTTCTATCTCTACAAATGCTCATCCTCTGTCAGCTCCATGTGCTGTGTTCACAAAGAATGGGCAAAGCCCGATATTATTATCGGAAGATCTGCTTACTTAAAATTTCATCCATGTCTCTTCCCTTTGCAATATCTTTGAATATTTGATGAATGTCAGATGTTTTTTTATCGCTGGAAGTGTAAGAGATGAAGGCATTAATAATTTATTGGCAGCTTGTAAGTTCAGTGAAAGAAATAAAAGATCTGAAAATATCAAGTATTGATCGAAAAACAAAAAAATATGTCCTGCTGTCGAATGATTCCAATTACAGGGTGTCTTTGGGGATCAGGAAAAACTCTGGACTCGCTCTTTTTTTCTCCTGAACCCAATTACGGAAAGTCGAGATGTTACTTTCTGGAAATTGATTTCCTCTGTCTATTGTCCTGGTGTTGAAGTGAGAAAAAGTCAGGAAACAAAAAACCGGGAAATTTGGCATTAATTCATCTACATATATATGAAATATAATCAGGTTTGGGAGGAAGGTTTGGCAAATTCTTGCTTATAAATTTCATCACTCAAAGACTCCAGGGAATATTTTCATTACTTAAAGGTTTTCAATTAGTCTAGCATTTTTTTTAATGAGAATTGATGCCAAAAAAAAAAAAAAATGCAGGTTCAATGTCATATAGATGATGAATTCTTAGAAAGTTTGACAGACATTTTGATATTCATTGCATGCTACAATCTTACCCAAGGGATCTTGGCTGTTTATTATAAAGAAGCTCCTATATCTACACTGAAGTGATTATTAAGTGTTATGTAATACATATATGATAGAATCTTCAATAGAAAATGCAGTTATTCTACTTTTTGTGTCATCTGTAATTTTCACTTTATCACATTTTATGTCAGTGAAGCTTCCAGCTTATCATATCAGATCATTGAATTAAGGGGGAATTTTTGGCCATAAACTTGATGAAGATGATGTATAAGTAAACCTTTAACAATGTTTTCTGTACTTAAGTTATATATGCAGTTATCTCTACAGCAATGATTGCAATTTCAGGAAATTGAAAAGGAGAGCAGATGCTTGTCAAGGGAAATAACTCTGTAATCTTGTCGTTTCAGTTGAGCCTGGTGAAGGGGAAGAATCAGGCATCATGTTGGGAAAACGGAGGTTCCCTGAAAATGGGACACAGATCATCCTAAACAAGAAGAGGAAAATCCAGAGTACCCCAGTCACCAAAAATGCCCTGATGCAGCTGAACGAAATCAAACCGGGGCTGGAGTTCCAGTTTGTTGCCCAGTCAGGACCAGTTCATGCGCCGACCTTCATCATGAGTGTGGAGGTTAATGGGACAAAGTTTGAGGGTCAAGGTCAGACTAAGAAGGCAGCTCGTTTAAATGCAGCAGAGAAAGCGTTGAAGTCCTTTGTTCAGTTCCCTAATGCTTCCGAAGCACACAAGGCCTTAGGAAGGGAGGTTGTTAATAATGATGCTGATTTCACTTCCGACAGTGCCGAAGCTTCCAATGATATCCTGTTTAATAACTTTGAGACTGGATCGGAAAATGGCGCTTCAGGTGATGTGTTAATGAAGGAGAAAAATGGAGTTAATAATTTGCCAAAGGGTCGGAAATCTGTAGTTCCTTCTGTACCCGACGGTAAAAACCCTGTAATGATCCTAAATGAGTTAAGACCTGGACTAAAATACGATTTTGTGAAAGAACATGGTGAAAGTCATGCCAAGCATTTTGTGATGTCTGTGGTTGTTGACGGGGTTAAATTTGAGGGATCAGGACGCAATAAGAAGCTAGCCAAGTCCCGGGCAGCTCAGATGGCCCTCACCAAATTGTTCAACTTGGAGTTCTCCACGCATCCAGGTAAATTATAAATCTACACATCCAGGTAAATTATAAATCCATGCATCCAGGTAAATTATAAATCCACGCATCCAGGTAAATTATAAAATCTGACGTAATTCTCCATACATCCAGGTAAATTATAAATCCACACGTCCATGTAAATTACAAAATTTGAGGTAATCTCCACAAATCCAGGTAAATCATGAACATAGTCTGTAATAATATCGTAAAGTTTCCATTTTTTCACATTTGTTTTCAATGTTTGTTTATCATTATACAGAGTGATATTCCTATACTTTTAGGTACAAAGCCTGTTCCTAAAGAATCTCACACAAATGTTCCTCAGGAGTTAGCGGATCTTGTGTCTCGTCTTGTCCTGGAAAAGTTTTGTGATTTAACTGATAATCTGACCTCACAGTACGCTAGGAGAAAAGTGTTATCTGGTATTGTCATGACAACTAGTGACTCAGAAGACAGTGCCACAGTGATTTCTGTATCCACGGGAACCAAGTGTATAAATGGGGAGTACATGAGTGATAAAGGACTCGCGGTCAATGACTGCCATGCTGAGGTCATGGGTCGAAGGTCATTGATGAGGTTCCTGTATTTTCAACTTGGAAAACATTTATCTGGAAATCAGTTAGAAAAAGAGTCCTCCATATTCCAGCCAAAAGAGGGAGGAGGATTCAAATTAAAACCCAACGTTCACTTTCACCTTTACATCAGTACGGCGCCGTGTGGCGATTCGAGGATTTTCTCTCCTCACGAGGCAGCTCAGGAAGTGGAGGGCGGGGACAAACACCCGAATCGTAAAGCGCGAGGGCAGCTGAGGACGAAGATCGAGTCGGGGGAGGGGACGATTCCCGTGACGTCCTCGGGAGGGATACAGACCTGGGACGGCATCCTCCAGGGAGAGAGGCTCTTAACCATGTCCTGTAGCGACAAAATCGCCCGTTGGAACGTCCTCGGAGTTCAAGGTAGGGCTAGAAGTTTTCGAGAAGTTTTCAATGTAAGTGCGGGTTATAGAAATCAGTAAAATGCATAATTTTAGGGAATATCAGCAAGGAACATGAGGAATACTCTAATACAACATAACATTTTAATTTATAGAAATTTAAATTTAACATATTTGAAAATGAACTAAATTTTAAATGTAAAGTAAGCTATTGATTTGTTACATTATTATATACTAACTGAAGCTAATTGTTTGATTACAGGCAGTCTACTTAGTCACTTCATAGAGCCAGTGTATTACGACAGTCTCATCCTCGGTAGCTTGTACCACGGAGATCACTTATCTAGAGCCGTCTACTCTCGAATATCAAATATGGAAAATATCCCACCCCCATTCCGTCACAATCAGCCTTTTATGAGTGGAATCAGTAATCCAGAGAGCCGACAGCCGCGGAAAGCTCCGAACTTCGCCGTCAACTGGTGCGTGGGAGACGCAGGTCTGGAGGTTATCAATACGATGACGGGAAAGACGGAGCAGGGGGCATCCTCCCAGGTCTGTAAACACGCCTTCTTCAAACGATTCCTACAGCTGTTCGGCAAAATCCCATCCTTCACGGGGCAGTCTGTTACTCAGCCCCCACGGACGTACGCTGATGCAAAAGCCACGATGACGGAATACCAAACGGCAAAACAGCAGATGTACTCAGCTTTTCAGAACGCAGGGCTGGGACGTTGGCTTAAGAAGCCTGAAGAACAGGACCAGTTTATTGTGTCTAGCTGATAACGTGGTGTTACTTTTACGTCTTAATTGACTCTAAATGTTCAACATTTGTCAGATCTCGTTTGATATTTTTTCGCATTAGATTATAGAAGTTTGTATTGTGCTTCAGTTTAAACCTGACATGAATGGAAGTAGACCATTTGGGAATGTAAGATCTCTGTTGGAAAGAATGATGAAGATTTCAATTTATATTTTTGTATCATTATTGTCATTTTTAGCTCTACTGGTCAGAGACCAGAAGAGCTTATGCGATAGTAATGCGTCCGGCGTCCGTCCGTCTGTCTGTCTGTCTGTCTGTCTGTAAACAATTTTTCAAAAACGCTACTCCTCCTACAATTTTAGTCTGATTTCAGTATAACTTGGCACACAAGTAGACTACACTAAGATATATAGAATTGTGCATCGGTTTTTAATTTCGATGAACGGTGTTGCCATGGTTACTAAAACTAGAATTTTCTGTGAAATTCCTTTAAAACGCTACTCCTTCTACAGTTTTGGTCTGATTTCAATATAACTTGACACACAAGTAGACTACACTAAGATACATAGAATAGTGCATCGGTTTTTGATTTCGATGAAGGGTGTTGCCATGGTTACTAAAACTAGAATTTTCTGTGAAATTCCTTTAAAACGCTACTCCTTCTACAGTTTTGGTCTGATTTCAATATAACTTGGCACACAAGTAGACTACACTAATATAGATAGAATAGTGCATCGGTTTTTGATTTCGGTGAACGGTGTTGCCGTGGTTACTAAAAATAGAATTTTCTGTGAAATTCCTTTAAAACGCTACTCCTTCTACAGTTTTGGTCTGATTTCAATATAACTTGGCACACAAGTAGACTACATTAAGATACGTAGAATAGTGCATCGGTTTTTGATTTTGATGAACGGTGTTGCCATGGTTACTAAAACTAGAATTTTCTGTGAAATTCCTTTAAAACGCTACTCCTTCTACAGTTTTGGTCTGATTTCAATATAACTTGGCACACAATTAGACTACACTAAGATACATAGAATAGTGCATGGTTTTTTGATAAGTACAAACCAGTAGAGCTACAGTCTCGACAGAGACTTCTGGTTTTGTTCTTGTTTCAATCACAGCAAGCAGTGAAAGACATCACAAATCTCTACAGAAAATAATAAATAATTTCCATTATTAACGACATTCCCCAAACTATTCTCCAATAGATTTACGCAATCTCACGGCAGTACTTAGTGACTGATTTTGTAGAAGTTAACATCACAGACAGATAAAAATAGAGGGGGCGAGATTGAATGTACCCTTATCTCCCGGTACGAGTGTGTGCACGGAAAAATCAATTATTTTTAATTAAATGTTTTAAGTATTTGATTTGGGAATACATTTCAATCATTGGGAGAAATAATTAAAGAAGAGAGCAGCATATGTTGATGGAATTGCATAATTTTTTTTTTAATTAAATTTAAGATTATGTTATTTCTTACGAATGTCTAATTAAGAGATGTTAATAAATAAGAATTATAATATACAGTAATGCACAGAAATGCATGCAGCATCAGTTGGATTATGTGATTGTGAAGAATGTTTTGATGTTGTCAATTTTAATTAATTTGAATGATTGAACCCAGTATTTTGTGTACCTGTTTTAAATCTATGAAAAAAAGTAGAGACGTATCAAATCGATGAACGAACGATGAATGTTTAAGTTTATTCTATGTTTACAGTGCCATTACTGTACTGAAGCTGTGCTTGACCAGAGAGAAATAAATTAACTTTATACCAGAACCTGTGTTGTAAACAGAGACCAATCTGTGTTTATTTTCTAGCCGTCTTCATTAAATCAGTGGATACTTGCCCCTGTAACTACTGGCTGATGCTGGCCGCAGTATTACTATTGGCTGGTGAATATTGTTACTGACCAGGGCTATCCCTGCTGAACATAGCTGATATCAGACCCAGAAAACTATTGAACTTTGTATCAATTACAGGAAACAGGATTATAACTATTAAGCATCAGGTCTGGGGCTACAGTATTGTCCTGCTAGTAATTAAGGAGGGAGGCATAGAGGGCAGTGAATTGTTAAGCTCACCTGTGTAGTTGAATCAGAATTCGTAATTTGACTGCTCATAATACAATATTGCAATATTTTATACATTATGACAAACACAATGAACAAGAAGAGCAAAAGCAATCATCAGTCATTTTTGAATAGAAACATTCTTAGGTTGTGTAGATCCAGGTTTGTTTAAATCATAAACCCTTGGGATTGGTGAAGGATCAGTTCAATATGGGCAATGGGAAAACCTGAAATATCCCTCAAAGTTTTTTCAAGGCTTCACTATATTATTTGAAAGTATGATCTAGTGCAGATTAAAGTTTGTTCAAAATTAGAGCCTCAAGGATAGGGTTAGCTACAATTTGAATCCCCCTTTTCTAAGTATACTCTTTGCCAAATTTGGCTGAAAATGGCTCCATGGTTCTGGAGAAGATGATCAAATTGTAAAAAGTTTACACTGACATACAATGGACAAATTTTGATTAGGAAAGCTCGCTTGAGTTTTTGGATCAGGTGAGGTTATAAGGCGTGTCGGATAGCATATGGTCAGTACCGGATTTTGGTTGTTCATTCAAATAAGTGACTAGAATATTAGAATAATCATATCTCTCACACACGATCCATTCATTTATCAGATCGCAGCTGTCAAATTCTCCTTGAATCATTGGAATCTGAATACCATTCTTTTAATAATCAGGCAGTTACATTGAAGTGGTCAATTCCAGCTGAACTATGGGGAATATGGTGTAGAGGACAGCCACTTACTTGAGATGATGGAAGTACATACATAATTACCAGAATTTCAAATGGACACAGTATTTCAGTTGTATATTTTTATTTAATCAGCTAACACATGAATTCGAAAAATTCTCCTTTATGCTAGATTTTTAGCTCACCAGAGCTATAAGTGAAATTTTCTGATCACATTTTTGGCAAGGATCCATTTGGAAACTTCATACATTTCAGACTTAAGTATTGTACACCAATAATATCAAGTAAACCTGGTATAAATCATGGACTAAACATTCCTATCATAACTCCCCTCCCTCCACGCCCCAGGGCAATAATGATCTGAACAATACGGTCTGCATTACCTGAGATTGCTCTAACCATCTTAACAATGAGGAAAATCCACATCCATGGTTATAACACTGATATCTAAGCCTACAGATCTTTGTAGAGTGGAAAAAAAAGAACTGCAGTTACTGGTAGGATTCCAATTTACTTAAAATTATAGTTTCCATGTTTAATTATAAGCTGTATGTACACGAGGTTAATAAAATTGGAAAGTAGATGAAAGATCTAATTCTACTTAGATTGAAAAAAAAAAACATATGAATCGTCATTGATATACCCAAGGGTATAAAAGTTTCACCTCAAAACACAGTAGGCCCCTATTTATGGTTATAAGAATTTCAGACCTGTTTACCCTTATCGTCGTCTCTCAGTATTTTTGATCAGATTTGTCCGTGAGATTTAACATTTGCCAGTAAGATTTCGCTTTCCATTGATTTTACGTATATAATTAGAGAACAACTGCTCCTTTGATTACTAAAACATGGTTAAATAACATGTTTTTTGTCATTTTATACCACACATTTTTGGCAATACAAAATCACCGATGTGCTTGAAATCTTTTTCTTTTATAGTGATGAAAGGGCGTGAAACTGAGACAGATCAAAAGGATGATTGATTGATTGTTTAATGTCTCTCTCAAGATTTTTGTTCTCATTTTGACGCCACCATCCGCTCTGGAGAGCTGCTCATTAGCCCTCTACCCAATATTCAAGGCCTTCAAGCAGGAAGGGGGCTGTTTCGTGCCAGCACTACTGCGACACAGGGCCTCAGTTTATACGGTCTCATCCGAAAGACCGGTCTCCGAGTCGCAGAAGTATGAGTCGAACCCTCGATGTAAGGAGCAAGTCCTTAATGCGCAACTCTTAGAGCAGACGCTCTGACCACTGTGCCACGCAGATCATAACGATTGATAGTCAATGATTTTTGTTGTTGCTGAGTCGGCATTCTTTCAGCCATATCTCAGCAGATCATAACAAAAACTGCTAAATTTCTAACGAACGGATTACCGTATTTTCATAATAGTAAAACGTGAGACGTATTCTGGATTAAAAATCCGTAAAAAATACGGCGAAATCGTGAGAGTTAAAACAGCTCTGGAATTTTTGTGTATCTGGATCAATCTGGAGAAGAATTAATACTGTATGTGAAAATTTTAGAGACGTCAAACGGAAGCCGGACAACTTTGAACCAGGAAAATTTTCTGGAGCTTTTGGTCCAGGTACAGGTGGGAAAATTAATTCTTCCTTCGACAGACCTATCGCCAGGTTAGCAATGCGGCCCCCGCAGGCCTCATTGCTGTGTTTTTACAAGTGCTTTGTTTTTTGTCCATTATCATTATCTACATTTCTTTATCGCTTAAATTAGCTCTATTAATCGATCGATGCATGAAAAAGCATTGATTTACTTAGAGAACATTGTTTACTAGTAACAAGATGGAAGATTGTTGACTGGTTGCCCCGATGGCTGGTGCGAGGTATAATATGAATACTTTTTTGGATCTCGTAACCAGCCTCTATAACCAGGCAGAGCGCATGCGCGCAACAAATTTACATCGAGATCGGAAAACAGAAGGAAGGAAATTCGAAATATATAATAAAAACTAGTAATACTATTCTTAGATGCAGAAATTTATGCATAATTCAATAAAATATTATTAAAAAAGCAGTAGAATGAATAAATCAACTTTGCAATTAGTATTTATTTATTTATTTATTTATTTATTTATTTATTTATTTAATTATTTATTTATTTATTTATTTATTTATTTATTTATTTATTTATTTATTTATTTATTCTTTTATTCTTTTATTTATTCATTTATTCTTTTATTCATTCATTTATTTATTTTATTTGTTTAATTTTTTTTAATTCTAATAATTAATGAACTAGGTAAATTAATTATTTATTCATTAGGAAATTTATTTGTCTGTTTATTTATTTATACACTTTTTTTCTTCATTATTTAATTATTCTATTGAGTAATCAGTTCTTCTATTTATTTATTAATTAATTAATCTTTTATTTAATTAATAAATTTATTGATTAATTTATTATTTATGTGTTAATTCATTTATATTTTAATTTGTTTGTTTATTTGTTAACTTACTTTATATTTTGCTTGATTGTTTATTTATTTATTGGTTTCTTTCTTTATTGGTTTATTTATTATTTCTAATAATTAAGTAAATGATTGA